GGAAATCCAAGATCAATGCACCAGCAGAGCTGGTGTCTGGTGAGGGCACATTTCCTGGTTTGCACCATCTTCTCACTGTATCCTCATAAGGTAGAAGCAGAGAAAAGAAGCAAGCTCTTGGCCTGGCACAGTGACTCATGCCTGTAATCCCAGCACTTTGGGAGGCCAAGGTGGGTGGATCACCTGAGGTCAGGAGTTCTAGATCAGCCTGGCCAACAAGGTGAAACCTCGTCTCTACTAAAAATACAAAATTAGCTGGGCGTGGTGGTGCGCGCCTGTAATCCCATCTACTCAGGAGGCTGAGGCAGGAGAATTACTTGAACTCAGGAGGCAGAGTTTGCAATGAGCCAAGATCATGCCATTGCTCTCTAGCCTGGGCAAAAAGAGTGAAACTCCATCTAACAATAAAAAAAGAAAAAGAAAAAGAAAAAAAAAAGAAAGAAAAGAAAAGAAGCAAGCTCTTTTGTATCTCTTCTTATAAAGGCACTAACCTCATCATGAGAACTCTATTTTCATGACTTAATTACCTCCCAAAGGCCCCACCTCCAAATACCATCACATTGGGGATTAGAGTTTCAATGAATGAATTGGGGGTGGGAGGATACAAACATTCAATCTATAGCTGTATTGTTAATCAGTTTTGGCAAATTCTTGACCATCATTGCTTCAAATACTGCTTCTATTCCATTCTCTCCCTCTCATCATCATTTGGGACTTCGTATTAGATTTTTCACCATATCTCACAGAAAAATAATACTAACTTATAAATACTAGCTAATAGAAAGTTGGTGTGAGTATACTGTTCTTTTCTGGTTTTTCCTCCCTTTTTTTCCTCTGAGCTTCTGTCTGAATATTTTTCCTTTTGATCCATCTTCCAGGTCACTGGCTCACTTCAGCTGTATCTAATCTGCTATTAAACCCTGCTTCTGTTATTTGTTTCTACGTAACAAAACAGACCCAAATTTTGTGGCTTAAAACAGCTGCCATTATCTACTTGCTCATGGTCTGTGATTTGGGTAAGGCTCAATGATGATAGTTTGTCTCTGCCACATAGTGTTGGCCAGGATAGCTTAACTGAGGTTGGAGGATCCAACATGGTTTTGCTCACAAGTCTGGCTTCCAGTCAACAAAGAGACTGGAAGAGTCGGGGACTGGTTGGGCCTCTTTCTCCTCTCTTTCATTTTTCATTCTCCAGGACCTACCTCTCTCCATGTGCCCCACTCCTTCTCCATACTAGCAAGGTATTTATGATTCTCTCCATGGTAGGTCAGCACTTCGAGAGTGTGAAATAAAAGCTACTAGGCCTCTTCATGTCTAGGCCTCGAGCTATCAAAATATCATGTCTCCCACATTCTTCACTCTATATGGTGGCCCTTCAGATGGTTAGATATAGATACCCCAGCCTCCTGTAACAGTACTTCATTTGGCATAGTTTTGATTCCTTCATTATTCCCTATGGGTCCTAGATCTAGAACAATGATGATACATAACAGTACTCAACAAATATTTATTCAATAAATGAATGAATGCTAATGAATGATATAATTGTAATCTAATGCTCCCTTCAGCAGCATATACACTACTACTGAAACAATACTAGCACAAATGGTAGGCAAACTTGCAAAAATCTTCAAACCTTTAATATCTTCCACATCTTGAACCCCTTCTCTCCAATTAGCTAGTAATTCAGTCAAATCACCCAGTTTGCTCCTCAGCCTGCCACACAACAGTGAAGAGGTGAGAATGAAAACAACCTCAATGAAATAGTCCTTAGGCTCACAGTCTCAGAACTCCTAGGACCTAAAGCAATCCCTTTTTCAATCCCCAAATAAGGTCCCAGGTAGCTCAAGCAGTGCCTTCCAAGACCATTAATATTTCTGGGGTTATGATTGAGGTGCCATCTGTATCTCTACTTAGTAGCCTAAATGCAGTTGCTGCTGTTACCCATCCCTACTCAGGCAATTCTGGCTGACCCCAACATTTAACCCCAGCCCTCTCCCTTCATGGCCCATATTGACTCTACGGTGCCTTTTATCAACTTAGAACTGCCCCTGATGCTCACACCAACATGGGAGTTGTCTCTGTCACTACAGGTAGTATATTACAGTTCTTTTATTTGACTCTCAAGAGTTAGTATCTTACAGCCCTTTCTCTTTCAAGGAATGTGAGACCAGTCCCCTGGGATTGGGTTAAAAGACATTTAAGAGATACCTCTAGTGGCAAAAGTAATGGAAATGGACTCTGATGCAAGGCCCAGGGAGCTCTCTTCTAACATGGTGAGTGAGTGTGTGTGTGTGTGTGTGTGTGTGTGTAACACCAAATTTTCCTGAATCCCTTTCCACAGTTCTTTTCACCACACCATGTAAGTAACAAAGATAACAATATCAAGTAACATTTAGTGAGCATTTACTATGTGCCAGACACTGTTCTAAGTATCTTATGTGTATCACCTCATACATAACTTGGACAAAGGAATAGATTTGAGGCAATTGAAGCATTATGGAATGGGTGAATTTGGGGGCAAGATTTGAAGGAACTGTTAGAGTTTTACTAGGAAGCTAAGTGAAGATATGAAAGGAGAGTGACAACAGGATCACATCAACAATATACATATAGGTGTATGATTGAGAAGAGGATGGCAAAAATAGATCAAGAAGCCAAAGGCAGGGAGAAGTACTAGCCCACAGGGATTTGAGGATGCTGAAATAAAAAGTGATCAAAGAAAGTTGATATTATCACCATTTGTGAATGGATTTCCTTCTATGTTTCAGAAGTAAAATTAATGTATGCTATTTTGATATAGCAAATAGAGCAGCTCCTGGGGCCACACTGACTAAAATAAATCAGACTCTTTTAATGGTCCTAATCATATCTTTAAAGAGTTACATATTATCTGTTAAATATTTGAATAGAGCATTGTTCTGGAATAGCCACAGCTTAGTCCTTTCCATAAAGTGGAAGAACCAGTCTGAAAGCTCTGTCTGCAGTGAAAGCAACAGGGCAATGCTTCATCCCCAGTAGCAATGTGTTGACAAGGTGGTCTGCATCCATCCTGACTGCAGAGACAGATGGGCTCTTAGCTAAGAGCATTAGGAGATTCCTGATGACCAGCCAGAGGGAGACCATGTGGGTGTATTATTAAGTCTGACTTGGTTAGATGAGAGATTGAGAGTCAGGCAAATGACGTGTGCTGAGCAAACCTGAAACCAAAGCCTAGATTGGGAGAAATTTTCACCTTCTCAAAATTACCAAACTCCATCAATTATGCACTCTACTGGCTGCTTCTCCTCATTACAAACTAAAATTTCTCCTAGCCTCCACATTTTCACCTCTTACTCACATCTCAATCCACCACTCTTTGGTGTCTTCCCAATACCATTCAGTGAAACAGTTCCCAACAGTTTCATCAGTGATTTCTCAATCACCAGGTTCAACATACTTATCTCCTTCCGTATCACACCTGACCTCCTTGTGGCATCTACCCAGACATTTCCTTCCTTCTGGAAATTCTTTTACTCCTTGGCTCCTATGACACTACATTCTTCTTTTACCTGACCCTTAGATGTTGGTGTTACCTGGTTCCAAACTTGGGCACTGCTTTTCTCAAATTCTACAGTTTCCAGGGCATCCTCCGTTATGGTTTCAGTGACCACTTATATACTGATATCACTCAAAAGTTTATATTCTGTCTTGACCACTTTCTCTAAGCCGTGTATTTAGCTGCCCACTAACTATCTCTCTGGATGGCCCATGGAAATCTCAACACATCCCAAACCACTCAAGATCTCATCTCCAAACTTGCTCATTCTTCATGGATTTCTGCACCCTGGTGAGTGTCAAAACTAATCATCCTGCTGCTCCAGCCAGAAACCAGGGAATCAGTTTCTACCCTTCCTCCTTCCTACCCACCTGCCACCCAAAGAATCAGCAAGCTTTATCTCAGCCCTTGTTTTATCTCTCCTGGTGAGAGAACATCAATGGAGGTCCTGCTCCCAGCCTCTCACCCTCAAGTCTAGTCCCATGCTGGCCACCAAAGTGATGTCTAAACCTGAACTGTGATCATGTCCCTCTATTGCTTATTGCCCTCCTCTGGTTGGCTTCCAACTGACAACCTTTCCCCTCTCATTTCTCTCCTCTTCCCTACATCCACCCCGTGCCCACAGGGAGGCTGGACTATAGATGCAAGCAGGCAACAGCTAGGGCTTTGGCGGCTAGTCAGAGGGATCTGAGTTTGATATATGAGGATACAGAAATCATTCTACAGCTTCATGAGCAATGTGTGACATTATGGCAGCTGCATATGGTAGGTTCTAGAAGAGAGATGTTAGCAGATTATTACAACTGAGGCAAAGAGGACCTAGACTCATCTTCCACAGTGAGAAAAGAGGAAAAAAATGAATCTGTAGAACAGGTAAGTACAGGTCAATACCAAAAAAAGAAAAACAAAAAAAAAGGAAAATCATGAGATGCAAGTAGCAAGGAAATGCATTGGTAAAGTAATGTAAAAGCACTACTCACAAAGTAAACAATCCACAGGAAATCTAGAGACTTTAAAGCCCCATCATAGGAAGCCCAGCACCACAGAACAAGAGCAGGGGTTAAAACACACACACCATTCTACAGGGCCAGCGAGGGAGGCCAATGGTGGGGAAAACTTTAGCTTCTGTAAAAAGGAGAGAGGATAGACACAACTAGCAGAGAATACAGACACAAATGAGAACTGTCCTTGTGACAAGGTGAGGGCCACAGAAAGTCAGCAGCATTTAGGAGGTATGCCAGCTGACCCCTTAAAGAAGGTGGGCTACAGCATGATTAAAGAAGCAGCATTCATTCATTGGGCAGACTCTAAACGACTTATTCATTCTACTTACTCCTCACAAAGAAGGTGTTAGGAAGATTCTTACTCTCAAAATGTCTTTGAAAGCGCCCAGCTAGGAACTTTAGAGTAAAATAGTGGTAAATGAACATGTTGTTCTAGAGCTAATGAACTGTATACGTACATAAATCTTCAGAAAGGGATGCTAATTTCAAAAACGTTGTCCAAAAGGTTGCCAGGATTGGAAACAAGTGACGGGCCAAAGCAAGTCCTTTTCACAAACACTGCAGGCCTATGAAACGCAGAGAGAGAGAAACATAACCGCTTATGGACTTTGGACTCATGTAGTTCCAGGTTCGAATCCCGTCTGTGCCATTCAGCAAATCAGAAAACCTCCCAGGACTCCAACTAAATAGCTTGCCCTAGGTGGGTCACACTGCATTGTTAAGGGCAGACCTGGGGCGAGAACCCAACAAGGTCGCTGACTCCGGAGCGGTGCTCTTTCCGGCAGCTTGGTGCCCAGCAGAGGGTTCCCCGGGCCTGGAGCGCCTTTGTCCCCCACTCACCAGAGAGCACCCGCGGAAGTGGCTGACTGGGGGTAGCCAGGCAGGGGTCGAGTCAGCGGGAGGTGTGCGTGGGACCGGGGGTCGCGAGTGGGGAGAACCCCCAGAGTGGCGCGGACGGGAGGGGAAGGGGGCGGCCGGGTGGTGATTGGCTGGGCTGCGGCAGGCAGCTCCCGGCCAAGAACAAAAGAGAGCAGGCGGCTGGCGTCCTCCGGAGTAGGCGCTCCCGCCCGCCCGCCCGGCGCGGGCTTCCGTGCTAGGAAAGGACGCGCCCACCGCCCGCCTGCCGAGCAGCCGGGCTGGCGCGCTCGGTTTCTCCGCGAAAGCCGGCCGTGTACCTAGGAATTAACCGGCCGGCGCAGGAGGGGAGGGGAGCGGGAAGCGGGGTGGGGGGGGATGCTGAGCGCGCGCGAGAACAATAATAAGATCGTGTTTGCGGTCGCTGCCCGAGGAGGAATTCGGAGCAGACGCGAGGCCCGGCGCTCGCGCTGCGCCCGGGAGCCCGGGAGGGAGGCCGGCGGCGGCGGCATGAGGCAGGCGACGCGGCGCTGGTAAGCAGCGCGCGCGGCGGCGGCGGCGGCGGCGGCGGCGGGGACCTTGGCGCGGCCGGTCGCGGGCGAGCGCCGAACGGCCGGGGGCTCCCCTCCCCCGCTGCCGGGCCGTGATTTGCCGGGCCTGCTGCGCCCCCCGCCCACCCCTTGCCTCAGCCGCCGCCTCGCTGCTTCCCCTCGTCGGAGCGGCCGCTCGTCCGCCCGGCTTGAGGCCCGCGGGGAGTGCGGCGCAGTCCGTCGGCCCGCGGGGGGGCGGCCTCCCGGCATCTTCGCGGCGACCAAGGACTACCAGGAAGGGGAGCGGCTGGGATGGCGCGTCCGCGGCCCCGCGAGTACAAAGCGGGCGACCTGGTCTTCGCCAAGATGAAGGGCTACCCGCACTGGCCGGCCCGGGTGAGTACCGCGGCCGCGCGCGGGCCCGCCCGCCCACCATTTTCCCCTTCATGATGGCGCGCCCACCCCCTTTCCCCATCGCCTCAGCCCCGAGCCCGTAGCTCGCGGCCGGCCGTGGTGAGGGCTGAGGGCGGCGCGGCACCGAGAAGACGGGGCCGGGGCTGAGGCAAGGGCTCCCGGCCGCGCCCGCACTCCGCCAGGGCGGCCATCCTTCCGCCCACTTTCGAAGGCGGGTCCGGCCCCCGCAGGCCCGACGCTGCCTTCCTCCTGGAAAGCCGGTGCCGACCGGGAAGCCACGCCGCCGGGCAGCGGGCCTGGGATGGAGGCTTCGGTTTCGGACAGGGTCGTTAGTGGATACCCTGGGTCCCGGGCGAACGTCGGGGCAGATACGGCAGCGGGGTGAACGGCTGTCCGCGAGCCGGCGAGTGCCGGCGGGCAGTAAATCCTGGAAAGGGGTAGTGGTCATCCAGAGGCCAGCAGGAGCCTCTTGGCAGTTATTCATCCATCTCTTTGCTTTCCAGACTTGTTGAGTTTTCCCTGAGCGTGATTCCCGGTGCCCCGCCTGCCCTATCATTGTCCCGGGGTACGTGCCTCTCTGGTTCCTATCGTTCTTTTAAGCCGACCTCTGATAGCCGAGAGCTAGCAGCCTAGCTCTGACTGGTGGGTCCAGCAAGCTTCTTGTGCCTTTCCACCTCCATATTTGTTTTAGGTAGACTCTCAAACCTTATTCTTGGCCTCCTACTACAGTCCACAATAGCTCTCTCTTCCTACATAACAAGGTTGTCGTTGGGCTGTTTTTCTAGAAAGCATCTGCATGTAATACATAGCATTCACAATTGTTATTGAGCCCTTTGAGGAAGACACGCAACACTGCCATGTATGCTTTGTGTTTTAGAATAAATCCCTTTTATTTTTATTTTTGTATGGTTGGCAGTTGATTGCTTGAAATAAATCTTGTGAAAAAGAAGGTCAAGGCATTCTAGAGATTATATTGGTATCCTTTAGGAACGGAAACAGGCATGGAGAAAATTGGCATAAATATAGAGTGTGAGCTCTAAGATGTTATATTGTAGTCAAGTGAAGATAGCAAGACCAAGGAAAAAAAAATACACCCATTCACAAAAGGAAGTGACATCACGAGTGGCCAGACTGAAATTTAGTGAAGTTGAAGTAATGGATGGACATAATCACTTTTTAAATATTTGGTTTGGCACGATTGTCAGATGGAAAGAACACTAGGCCAGGAATTGGGGGACCTGGTGTCTGGTTCATACTCTGTTATGGACTAATCATTTCAACTGTCTGCATATCTATTTCTGCAACTGTAAAATCATCTCTAGGATCCTTTCCAACACCAACAACCTCAGATATCAAGAGGAAAAAACAGTCTTATTCAGGTTCCAGTAGACTGAAAATAACTTCACATCTGAACTGTAGGTTGTCCTTAAAATAAGACAAAGTTTTTAAGGTAGAATAGCTGGTTATTTTTTATGCTGTAATACAGTATTGCTTAGAGAGGCAAGATTTGTGACTTTAGGAGTCCCTGAATATATTTGTGACTTTAGAAAATCCCGGATTCTATTTGCCAAGTAAGAAATGTATAGCTTTAGGGCGTATGTGTATAAACACAGCCAAAGCCAATTAAAGGTTACCATTACCAGTTGGTCATTTCCTAGTGACATAATGGCTTTTCAAATTTTTCTTTTGAAAAATATCTTCTGAGAGTCAAAAAGAAAATAGACTTAAAATTTCATTAACATGTTGCTTGCACAGGTTGGCCACCTGTAGTAATTTGTGAAACAGAAAAATCCTACAGAAGTGGTCCTAGTTGTATATCTAATTGTACATAAAATCCCTCTAAGTGATAATTCCAAATCAAGGCAAAATGGAAAATAAAATGAGGAAACAAAATTTTTAGATAAAATAAGTACACAAAAGAAAAATCTGTATCCATTCACATTTAACGAGCTCTTCAAGAAACAACCTAAGACTCAAAAAAAAAAAAAAAAAAAGTGTTTTCTCGTGAGTGGCATGCTGCAATTTCCAAAGAAAGGTAAAGGTTAGAAAAAGAAAAAGATTTGAGTCCCCTTTTTTACAGTGCATATACTTCACATATGTTTTCATTTTTTTATCCCAATTCTATGAGGCATTATTCCCATTTTACACCTAGTTATAGCTGTGGAGGTGATAATGTTATAAAATACTAACGGGGAAAAAAAAGTCTTGCTTATTGAAATTTCAAATTCTATCACTTGATATGAAGGCCAGTTATGTGGGAATTAGATACTCTGGGGCCCCAAGGACTCAAACTTAGGAGGAAAACCAGGAGGAGACAAATTTCAGAGTACAGGTTGTAGGAAGGAACTTTGTGTTAGAGCTGGTTCATGCAGGAATGGAGAAGCAACTTCCCTGCTCTAGGGAAGATGTTTGGTCCTAGGCAGCCCGTTGTGAGGAATGTAGGTCAAGAGGATTCAGAATTCCTACAAGTTGGATTCAGCTCTTGGCTCGGCTTCACACTGTGACCTTGTGCATGTTCTGTAATCTTTCTAAGTTTCCATTTACTCGTCTGTAAAATAAGGATAATTCTCACCTCACAAATACAGAGTATCTAAAAGCACCAAGTGATGGTACTTGTATGTTCCTACCTTTTCCCTTTTTGAATTTCTAACTTTCCCTTGTATCACTACACTATTTTAAATTATTATTTGTCAACTTTCTTTTTTTTTTTTTTTTGAGACGGAGTCTCACTCTGTCACCCATGCTGGAGTGCAGTGGCTGGATCCCAGCTCACTGCAAGCTCCGCCTCCTGGGTTTACGCCATTCTCCTGCCTCAGCCTCCCAAGTAGCTGCGACTACAGGCGCCCGCCACCTCACCCGGCTAGTTTTTTGTATGTTTTTTTAGTAGAGACGGGGTTTCACCACGTTAGCCAGGATGGTCTCGATCTCCTGACCTCGTGATCCACCCATCTCGGCCTCCCAAAGTGCTGGGATTACAGACTTAAGCCACCGCACCCGGGCTATTTGTCAACTTTCAACTCAGATTTATTTTTTCCAATTTTTATCCTGAAAAATTTCAAATACATAGATAAGTTTAAAAAATTATACTGTGAAGACCCATTTATCTACCACCTAGATTCTACAATTAAATTTCATTCTACTTGCTCTTTCATGCATCTGTTTGTATATTCATCCCTCTATCTACATAATAGTTCCTCTTATTTTAATGCATTTCAAGGTAAGTTGCAGACATCACCATAATTTACTCCTAGGCACGTGCATACTGTTACCTAGTGGTTAATACTTTGAATGGATCCTTTTCTGTTTTGAGGTAAAATTTACATAGAATGGAATGTAATTACCATTCGATGAATTTGACAAACGTGTACATTGGTATAATATAAATATACCTCTGTATATAATATGTGTCACATATATAGGTATATGTGATACATGTCATATGTAATATAAATACATGTAGCTATACATTGGCATAATACCTACCAAGATATAGAACAGTACCTACGAAAGTACTCTCATGCCTCTTTCTAGTAGATTCCTGTCCTCCTCCTTCCTTCTCCCCCACTGTTCAGATGTATTATTCTAACATTAAATAGCAGCTGGGCTGTTTCTCATTTAGTATGCCTAATTTTGTATGGCTTTAAAAATTAGAAGTTCCTCTGTTATGGATTAGCTAGCTTAATACTAAAAAATGCTGAGGCTAAAACAAGAGTCTCTGAACTCTTCTGTTTGTGTACCCTGTTGGTAAAATAATTTGAGCATACATCCCTAATATATGTAAATTTTCTTTATATATACATGTACTTTCTGTTACTACTATATACAGCGTAAAATAAACGCAAACTAAAAGGGATGACTTGATGAAAACGATGTTTTAAAATTTTCATTGCACAATATCGTTAACAGTAATAATACTTATTACTTATAGGTTAAATTCATATTTTTTGAAGTCTTAATTTTTGAAATATTTTCCACCTGCTTCTTGTGAGATTTGACTAGATGGATGGTCATAGTTCTTAACTTCTGAAGAGATTTTCTAGAATGGAAGTGTCAGTTTAGACATTTCCTTGTTGTTTGCTTGTATCTACGTTACTAATATTATTTTTGTGTAGGAATCTTTCTTTTTTTTTAGCCACCTGTTCCTTTGGTGAGAGCTAGTTCAGTTAGAAGTAGATATTCCATAATCCTGCTCACACTAAATGGCAGTAAATCACAGTATACCCAATGTGAATAAACATAACCATCTG